ATGTCATCTCCTAATGCCTTTAACCGCAGTTCCCTCTGGAACCTGCATACTGGGGTACAAAAGGTATGAAGTACTTCTACTCTTTTATTTATACCGACAAATGATTATACTCTCTTCTGCCCATCTGTTCTAAATTAAGAGACCCAAAAGCTTCTTTTAGAATTTCCCCTCCATTTCAAAACAGGAAAAAATTCATATTCATCCTTCCTTTCTGATAGTGACACATTTATATACCAATATTGTTTGGGTTTTCAACCTCGTGTCTCTACTTGCAGAAGGAAATACTTGGTCTCTTATGAAAGACAATTGCTATCAAGTATATGAAGGCAGAGGGTGGTAGGTTGAAGGAAAATGGAGAGTCAGGTTAGTATCAGAAAATGTACATAAAAGCTTGTTTCTAAAACCAGAATTCCTTACATTCTTTTATTCAGAATGAAAGAATAGGTGGGTGTTTGTAGTAGCCCCTACTACCTTTTCCTTTACCTCAGAATTCCCAGATTCAGAGGTTCCAGAGCCCATTTTCATGGTGCCTTCTCTGCTACCCAATGGCCTCAAACATCCCAAGTTGAAGGAATAGAGTTGGAATAGAACAATCTATGAGAAGAATCAAGTGCGTCAGGGTGGACAAATGATTAAAAGTAGATACAGAGGGCACAGGCAGACTAGCTAAAATAGGAAGACAGGAGGAAAGAGAACAAAACTTTTATTAATAATCTATTTTTTGTCTGAGGCTGGGCGTGGTGGCTCATGCCTGTAATTCCAGCACTTTGGGAGGTTGAGGGTGGGTCACCAGAGACCTGGAGTTCGAGACCAGCCTGGCCAACATGGTGAAACTCTGTCTCTACTAAAAATACAAAAATTAGCCGGGTGTAGTGGTGCATGCCTGTAGTCCCAGCTACTTGGGAGGCTGAGGCAGGAGAATTGCTTGAACCCAGGAGGTGGAGGTTACAGTGAGCCGAGACTGCACCACTGCACGCCAGCCTGGGTGACAGAGCTAGACTGTCTCAAAAACAAAAACAAAAAAAATAATTTATTACCTGTCTGGAACCAGGGGTAAAGCAAGTGAGTGGTCAGTGGCAAGGAAACTCAAATTCTGGGAAGGTAAAACTCAGGATCTCTCTCTTTCAAATAATGTGTGCTAATGTGGCATTTATATGGTCTGTGTGGCTAACAAGGCACACAATAATGATTCATATGTGTCTTAATATATGTCAGATTAATTTATCGTGAATTTTATTTGTAAGCACTATATATTCTACAGACATTTATAGATAGATTTTATAGTTGACTACTAAAATATCATGGCCTGAAACTTTTTAAAATCTGAAAACTCCTTAAATTTCTTTCTTAGTGAAAGTTAAGCAAACTATGATCACCAAACCTGAATACTGCAATAGACTGAAATAAATCACAAATTGAATTGTCTTTTTCTGGTGTGGTAAAGAAATTTTTAATATTTACTCTGTCATCTCTAATTTTTGTTTAAGTCTAATATCTAATTTACTTGTATCTCAGCTATCTTGGTTTATAGGATTCTCATGATAAATCTTCATTATTTTCAAATATGAACAATTTTCAAATATGATTGTTCAAAAATGAACAATCATAAGGCACCTCATTTACTCTACAAGCTCTTTTATTGTATGTATGAGCTAAGCAGGGCACTGCTCTGTGCTTGCTCCAAACTTTTCTTGGGTTTCTAATAACGTATTTCTAAAATAGGCTTTATGCAGGCTATTTGCTAAATTACTCTGCAATTTCTCCCTTATATCCCAATTTATAAAAAATTCCCTTAAAAAGTCATGGCCAGGTTCAATCATTGTGGTAGACAGTGTGGCGATTCCTCAAGGACATAGAAATAGAAATTCCATTTGACTCGGCAACCCCATTACTGGGTATATATCCAAAGGATTATAAATCGTTCTATTATAAGGACACATGCACACGAATGTTCATTGCAGCACTGTTTACAATAGCAAAGACCTGGAACCAACCCAAATGCCCATCGACGATAGACTGGACAGGGAAAATGTGACACATATACACCATGGAATACTATACAGCCATCAAAAACGATCAGTTCATGTCCTTTGTAGGGACATGGATGAACCTGGAAACCATCATTCTCAGCAAACTGACACAAGAACAGAAAATCAAACACTGCATGTTCTCATTCATAGGTGGGTGTTGAACAATGAGAACACATGGACACAGGGAGGGGAGCATCACACACTGGGGTCTGTAGGGGGGAAATAAGGGAGGGACAGTGGGGGGTGGGGAGCTGGGGAGAGATATCATGGGGAGAAATGCCAGATATAGGTGATGGGGAGGAAGGCAGCACATCACACTGCCATGTGTGTACCTATGCAACAATCTTGCATGTTTTTCACATGTACCCCAAAACCTAAAATGCAATTAAAAAAAAAAAAAAGTCATGGCCAGGTGTGATGGCTAGTTCCTTTATACCCAGAACCTTGGAAGGCTGGCGGGGGAGGACTGCTTGAGGACAGGAGCTCAAGACCAGCTTGGGCAACACAGCAACACCCTGTCTCTACCCAAAAATAAATAAATAAATAAAAATAAATAAAAGATGAGTGTAATGGCATACACCTGCAGTCCCAGCTACTCCAGAGGTGGAAGTTGAGGTGGGAGGATTACTTGATCCCAGGAGTTGGAGGCTGCAGTGAGCCATTATTGTGCTGCTGCACTCTAACCTGGGTGACAGGGCAAGACCCTGTCTCTAAAAAAATAAAAAATGAAAAGGTCATCAAATAGATTTGAGTTGTTTTCTTGTGGACTGGCTACATGAAAGTCAGTCATAACTCCTGTTTTTCCCTTGCATTCTCCTTCTACAAAGGCAGAAAAGTTAAAATGGCTTCTCATAGTGTACTTCCTTGCTGCTGAGGAAGCCATATGACTCATTTCTGGTCAGTGAGATGTTAGTAGAAATCCCTGGGAGGAAATTCCAGGAAAGTTTTAAAAAGGACATGGCTGACATGTGCTTTTGGCCAGCTTTAGACCACACCCCTTTTCTTGAAAGGTAAAATCCTAAGGGTGTCTTAGACATCTTGCAACCATGAGAGCAAAAAACCCATGCTAAGAAAGATGAAGGAGGAAGCCATGTTCTTCAATTACAGTGTTATGCTCCTTTAAAAACTCAAGGCACATTTAAAGTATGGCAGGAATTAAGTTTCTTTTATTCTGCATATTCATTATAATTAGTGACTAACTTCAATGAAGAATTCCAACATAAAGACTGATTTAAACCTAGAGATTGTATTTATACAAAGAGAGCATCCTAAACTCATCAAATAATTTAGCATAATTGTTTTTTTAACAATGTTCTATTTTCTACCCATACTTGTAATATATTACAAATTATCAAAATCTACTCCCTGATGTTTTATGTTGTCTTAAAGAACATGCTAATTCTCCTCCCTAGGAATATTAAATTCAGACATAGGTAATTTAATGCCTGTAGACACTGTTGCTGACATTTTCAACATCAGATCTAATTAATAACCTAGAATTCTTTCCTCAAAACTACTTATGACATATTAAGAAGTAAAATAATGAAAAGATTAATGTCTTACCAACCTTTGCTATAAAATATTAGAACCATCTAATCTCATATCTTTGCAAATATAATAAAGGATATTGAAAATGCCAATAGCAATGGCAAGTTATGACAATTCAAAGTAAAGCCAAAAATTTAGCTGGACAAAAACAATAATGCTTCTTCATGCAGTTATGTATTTCAGAATAAATTCTAATGCCAGTTGTTTCATTCTTCTGAGGAATTGCTTCAAATTGTTTGAGATACTAACATAAAGAAAGTTGGGGCAAGATCAGCCACCAAAAAAAGGGGAAATTTCCCATGAAACCTCTATTTTGACCATGTCATTACCATGCTCAAAATCTTCAACAGCTCCCCACGGCTTTCATAAATCCAAACTCTATGGGCCAACCACCCTCCCTTTCCAGTTTTACTTGTCCCTACCTCTCCACTCTGATCCAAATTACCCTATTTCTCTCAAAATAATTTCAAACTGCCCAATGTTTATATAAGGATGTTCACAATTAATACATAAGTAAATTAGAAACAATTTAAAAGTCAAAGGAATTTCCATAAAAATGCTACATAGTAGTCCAATAAAGATTTAGCAGGATTTTGACTATTACCCTGTACTACTGGGAACATGCTTCTACTAAAAATAATTATTGTTTACCTGAAATTCAGATTTAACTGGGTGTCCTCTATTTTCTCTGGTAAGCCTGCTCCAGTGTCATCTCTCTAGAGTCCTATTATCACCAGATCTAAAGAATGTCCTTTAGGATGCTCTCTTTGTATAAATACAATCTCTAGGTTTAAATCAGTCTTTATGTTGGAATTCTTCATTGAAGTTAGTCACTAATTATAATGACTAACTTATAATTCCTCTGTCATATCCCTTCATAGCACTTGTCAATCTTTGGGAATAGCTTTGTTCAGTTTTTTTGTTTACCATTGTAGATCACTTCCTCCCTCTTCTAATTAATCCCCACATCACAATTCTACCTCATGTTAGTATCACAGAATAGGGTTTTTTTTTTTTTTGTCTTGAACAGTTTCTCTCACATCTAAAACAGTACCCAGCACAAAGTAAGTGTTCATAAAATATCTGTCCAATGAATGAATAATGAATACTCTGAATTCACATCTTCAAAAGTGTTTAGTTAAAATTATTTCCTTCTAATTTCATAACTGCAGCAATCTTAAAAGTTCTAAAAGGAAAACTAGTTGGACTAGGTTTCTTATGCAGGTAATATGAATACTAACTATAGTTTCATGTGATTTACTTTATCACTGAGGTTGTATTGTAACAAGACAAATAAATAAGAACTGTTCATAACTATTTGCACATGACCAAAAATAACTCTAAGAATATAGAAACAGTAATAAAAGCACACTTATAAAATAGACCTTTATACAGATATAAATCACTGCAAATCCATTTTACCGTCTTAATAGAGCTCCTTTGTTTTTCTTCCCAAACACTACTGCTTAATTCAAGTGTACAATGAACATTTGCCTCTCTGTCATAGGATCCAAAAATGAGTAACCTGCAGAATAAAACAAAACAAGGGAGAATATTATGCTTGTTATATTCATTAAAATTTTTCTTTCTGATCATTATAACAAGAAGCAATACATTACTCCATTACTATTACAGCTTTAGTAAGAGAAAAAAAAATTAAGTCAAATATTTTATACACCCTCTAGTGGAAACATGAAGTAAAGCTAAAATCTGGTGAGATTCCAGGATATGCTGTTTTCCAGCAGCTAAGTTAAGCAAATACAAAGTATTATCTACTCATTAAGTAAAGAAATTGACCAAATATTTATATGTAGCAGCAACAGCTATACATCTTCAAAACAGGCTATGGAATTAAAAAAAAAAAGATGCAGAATAATGCATCTAGTATACCATCAACTGTAAAACACACACACACAAAAGTGTGATACAATTTCTTATAAACACACACACACACACACACACACACACACACACACGACACAGACACTCTTCATCTACGAATATGACCTCAGGAAAATGATTTAACTTTTCTAAGGCCCCTCTTCTAGAAACTCTGGGCAAAAATAGTACTTACCTCTGAGAACTATTTTAAGTAAAAGACAATGCACACAAGGCATTTAGCATAGTGCCTAGTAAACAGTAAGTGCTCAATAAATGTTATTTCTATTACTATCTTGAAAACAATTGTCAAGGAATATTGGCGTCACATAATTTTACTGTTTAACATTTGGATCTAAAAAAGACATATGAGGTCCAATCACAAGATTATATAAAATAATTGTTATTATTGAAGAAAAAGCTCACGTGTCCAACTTCTGTATTATCTGTCCTCAAAATCAGAATGTAAATCTGCCAACTTGTTTCAGCAGTAAGCTTGAGAATAGCTTTAACACTAACAAACATGTTAGCTGTTACTCTATTATTTTATCTCTCTATGAAGATCATGAGGCAGTAGTGAATAATGAAAAAGTGGGTAAAACACATGAGAGCAATTTGAAAAAAACTGTGTCTACAGGTTAAAGACCTCAAGCAAATCATGTCCATACTCCACAAACTAGAGTCACAAACAAAAGCCTGAATAAACTCATGGTGAAAAATCAAACCAAAACAAAAACAAACCTCTAAAATTCTAAGTTCTAGACAATTCTTAAAGAATCTTAAAAGGAACTTTAAACTTAGTGCTTAACAACCTATTACCAAAAACACGGCAGTCCAAATACAAGGAGGATTCTTAATTATAAAACGCTAGGTTTAGGAAAAAAATGAGAATTTACATTCATTAAAGCTCTGCTGCCACCATCTGTTCAAAGAGTAAACTACCTAAGCGCCTTTACTACCATGCAGAGAAAACTGCACAAGCTAGTGTCCCCAAATTCCTGGCAGGTATTAATCTTCAGAATTCAGGAATGAGAAAGCAAAATTCTCAGAAATTCTCCCCTGTAATTGTAAGTTATTCTGTATTTTTCACAACACTTTAGAAATATTTTTAGAAAGATTAATAAAAAATTTAACAAAAATTAACTCAACATGGGTCACTGACCTGAATATAAAAGCTAAAACTACAAAACCCTTAAAGAAAACATAAAAGCAAATGTTTTTGACCTTGAACTAGGCAATGGTTTCTTAAATATAACGCCAAAAACATAAGCACCAAAAGAAAAATAGATAAATTGGACTTCAACAAAATTAAAAATTTTTTAAAAGTAAATGAAAAGACAACTCAGAATGGGAGAAAATGTTTGCAAATCAAGCATTTGATAAGGGCCTAGTATTCAGAAAAAAATATGAATTCTTACAGCTCAACAATAAAAAGACAAATACTGCAATTTAAAAATGGGCAAGGAATTTGAATAGGCACATCTCCAAAGATGCACAAATGGTCAACAAGCACATGAAAAGATACTCAACATCATTAGCCACTGAAGCAGCACAAATCAAAATGATTTTATACCCATTAGATTGACTATAATAAAAGAGACAATAACAAGTATTGGTGAGGAGATAGAGAAACTAGAATCCTCATATATCGCTGATGGGAATGTAAAGTGGTACAGCTACGTTAGAAAACAATTTGGCAGTTACCTAAAAAGTTAACACAGAGGCCGGGCGCGGTGGCTCAAGCCTGTAATCCCAGCACTTTGGGAGGCCGAGGCGGGTGGATCACAAGGTCAAGAGATCGAGACCATCCTGGTCAACACGGTGAAACCCCGTCTCTACTAAAAATGCAAAAAATTAGCTGGGCATGGTGGCGCGTGCCTGTAATCCCAGCTACTCAGGAGGCTGAGGCAGGAGAATTGCCTGAACCCAGGAGGCGGAGGTTGCGGTGAGCCGAGATCGCGCCATTGCACTCCAGCCTGGGTAACAAGAGCAAAACTCCGTCTCAAAAAAAAAAAAAAAAAAAAGTTAACACAGAATTTAACACATAGTTCAGTAATTCCACTCCTGGGTAGGTAAGCAAGAGAAATGAAAGCATACATTCACACAACATGCACACAAATGTTCACAGCTGCATTATTCATACATAATGGCCAAAAAGTGGAAACGAGCCAAATGTCCATCAAATGATGAGTGGGATAGTGTCATATCCATATAATGAAATATTATTTGGCAATAAATGAAAGGAAGTCCTAATACATGCTACATACACTATGAATGAACCTTGAAAAAATTCTAAGTGAAATAAGCCAGCCACAAAAGACTGCATATTGTAGATTCTATTCACATAAAATATCTTGAATAGGCAAATTTAAACAGGTAGTTATTTAGGGTTATGGGAGGAGTACTAGAGGAAAATGGGGATTACTGGTAATAGATACGGGGCTTCTTTGAGGGGGATGAAAATATTCTAAAATTAAACTCTGACAGTGGTTATAAAACCCTGTAAATATATTAAAAAACAGTGATTTGTATACTTTAAATGGATGAATTGCATGATGTATCAATTATATCTCAACAAAACAATTTAAAGAAAAAAATGAGGGATCGTAACAATAAATAATAATCATTTTTCTGTGATACAGTTCTGTTCAAAGTTTCAAAGAATTGTTTTAAAAAAGATGTAATAATAAATGCTTAGTTTATTGTGGTTATAAATCAATATATTGTGACAAGATTATAAACTTCAATAAAATGTAAAACTGCTCTTTATTTGATACAGATATTTGATAACAGAAAACATTAAAAGAGCACCTTGAAACCAAATAAATTCAAAAAATCATTAATTGTGAAAAATAACCACACATATTTGTTAATAACATTCTTTGCTAAAAATTTAAAGCATACAAAGCATTATTTGACCTATTCAAAGTCTTGATCTTTGTTTTGTGACAAATATCCCAGAAAATGTTTTTGTTTTGCATTGTTATTGATTGGTCCAATTGTAATGATTATTTCCAAAAACCTCTCCAGGTTGGGTGCACCGAATAAAAATTATGGAAGGCTATTGTTTGTACTGAGCTCCTTGCACTACATCCTAGTAAGAACAGACCAAATAAGGAGATAAATCCCCAAACAGACCAGTTTTCCCCAAAAGCAGGAGTCATCATAACAATAAAGTCCCCTTTACTTTAACTTTTACAAAAAAGTAATCTGAAGTTACCTTATGTTACCTAATTTCTCCCCTATTGTTCTGTTTGTTTCCACCTTATAAAACTCACGGTTCTGTCATTACCCAATAGGAGCTTTTATTCTATTTTGTTAGATTGGAGGCTGTCCTGATTCAGAATTGCAAATAAAAGCCAATCAGATTTAGAACTAAATTTGTTGTAGTTTTGTCTTTTGACAGTTCTGGCGGCCATATGAAGGGACATAAAGGAGATTTCTGATGATCCATGACCCAGAGACCTCTTGAGGAACACAGAAAAGGTGCTGCTGAGCCCCCTTTTGAGTCTTCTGTCTTCCTCAGGAAACCCTGAAAATGGTTAAGTTCCTCTGAAGTCTGAAGCTTTGCTTTCTTTTGCATTGAGTTCCCTGATGTCTGTGGTTTTGGGTTAATCTGTGCTGTGAGAGGGCACTTGACTTTTGGATTTGCAGTGGCTGAGGAGCCACTGGCAAGAGCTGCAGTTTTAAAGGTTACTGACAGTGGTTAAACTAAGTGGTTATTACAGTAGGGGGCATAAACTCTAGTTTTCAAAATTTGCAGTTATGTAGGTTCTGTATTCTTCATTTTTCTTGTGCACTCAGGTAAGAGAGGCCTCAGGTGTCTGGGTCAGAGAGAAACTGGAAAATAATTGGCTAGGTTGGTCAGTGGAATGTCAGAGCCAAAGCCATAACCTGTCTGGTGGACATGGGTGAGGCACTTAAGCGCTACCCACCACTAAAAAATAAGACTACCATGAGAAGATAAGCTGGTCAGGAAATGGGACAGTTAACATTAAGTTGCCCACCAGCCACAAGAAAATGTCCATGCAATGAGGTACAATGTAGAAGCATTATAGGACTCAAACTCATGGCATCTCCTTCTTAGGTGTTTATCTTGGCTCTGGGAGAACCAAGACTCAATGTCAAAATAGGATCCTTTATTTCTGAAGAGCTGAGTACTCAGCCTCCTACCGATGCCTGACTTTCACATGTATGAGTATTAAGCCTAAAAACTGCATATACTTTAACAAGTGGCAAAATCTTATTAAAGATAATTTAGAATTATAAAGGTCATATGAAGACTGTTCCAGAACAATGCCATTCATCTAACAAGTATACTTGAATCCAAAGTCTCCCAATTAGTTAGAGAGAATGGGATTCTCTTTTTAACTGGCATTCAGAAGTAAAGAAACAACAGGATTCAAAAATAGCTGTTATAAAAAAATCATTGCAAAAAGCTAATGAAAAGCTAAAAATGCAAGATAACCCTCATATACCAAGGACAATAAGACTGACCTGACTACTGCTGCTCTTCTCTATCCTACTTTGACTGGATATTCAGTCTACTAACTCTGAACTACCTTTCTTCTCTGAAAAAGCAGTTAAATAGCTTTTTTTTTTTAAATGAAATAAAAACACCTGAAAATTCCAAAATGATCACCCAGT